ATTTTTTTCCCCAGGTGATTTTTTTTTAAATGTTCAAACTTCTTAACTAATATTACAGCCAAGCAACAGCAACCTATTATAAAAGAGTAAAAGTTCTTGTCCTTGGCCACAGAACTCTACTAAAATAAGTATTTCTTAATGTGACACAAAAGCACTTACTTCTAGAAAAGACATCTATCTTGCATATGTCCGTTTATTTCACATTTTAAACTCCATATGTTTCACATTTTAAAAGATTATTTATCTAACTCTAGTGTCAAGTTTATTTTTACGTAGGATTGTTGGGTTGCTTTCTTGTACAAAACGTAAAGTTGGAGCTGTTTCAGAGATTAATTGTGCTCTGCTTGCCTGTGGCTGTTTGTACCCTTAGAAGGCAGATTAGAAAACCAGGCAAGGCATTTCTTTTATACTAGTCTTTAAAACTGATCCTTTTTGTCACACATGTGGCTCACTTATGAAGAAGACAGTATTAGAACTAGAATCAGTACTAAAATTAAGGAAAAGATCTATCAAACTTATAACCCAGACCTCAAAACACTGGACCACAAGCATGAATATCTTGAAATTTCTTCTTTATAAACACGTGTACTAAACAAAGATGGAAACAAAATGTTCAGGAGCAAAGTTCAGCTATTACTTTAAAAATAAGAACTGTTTTAACTATACAAGTTTTTTTAAGGGTTGTATAAAAAGATTATAAATCAATAACCGAATTGAAGTCCCAATATTAGAGACACTATCACAAACTGAACAAACAAGATAATTTCTGACCATTTATAAAACTTTTTTAGTTGGTATTGTTTTGATTACATAAGAGTACTTAGCGGAAGACTAATGTTCCAAGTAAAACAATTCTTTAAAGATATGAAAAGATGTGTAAATTCAGTTTCCTTAATAGCATGTACTTTGTTAAGCTATAGATTTCAGACTGTGTAACTGGGAGAGTACTACAGTAATCTTTTACAGGCTACGTGTATAACCCAACTCTGCCAATGGCTGCTCTGTAACTCTGGGCAAAGACCTATTCTTTTTTTTTTTTTTTTAATAATTTTATTTATTTTCCCCCCAAAGCTCCAGCAGATAGTTGTATGTCATAGCTACACATCCTTCTAGTTGCTGTATGTGGGACGCGGCCTCAGCATGGCCGGAGAAGCGGTGCTTCGGTGCGAGCCCGGGATCTGAACCCCGGGCTGCCAGCAGCGGAGCGCGCACACCTAACCGCTGAGCCATGGGGCCGGCCCAAAGACCTATTCTAAGATTCAATTTATCTCTGAAATAAATCATATAAGCTGTGGAGTTACTTCCAACTCTAAAATTCTATGACTATTTGTATTTCATTAGGTAAATGCTACTTGATTGCTTTCTATTTTAGCTATCTCAATGAACCAGGAAACATGCACAGTAAAAAAAAGCCTTAGTCCCACTGACGAGCAGAAAGGAAGACACACACACATATTTTAGGAATATATATTTTAAAAGATTCAATAGTCCTTTGTTAAGCAAAATCACTACTACAGGCTACAGGATGAGAGAAGACATCTAAGTTATAGTTAACAGATTGTTTACTTAAAGACTTAAATTTGTGTTTATATAGATAACATATCACAGCATAAAAGCACACCCCATCTGGCTGTGCTTTGTTGAGTGGTATCATCTCTGGATGTCCGTATATTGAGTGTGAGTTTGGACTCAAGGTTTCCTTGGGTCTCTCTCAAGGGGTCTCCTTTCTCTTCAGTATTTTTATTTCTATCTTCCTTTCACTTATACAGAACTGCCATTCTAATTTTTTTTTTCCCCTTTTTCTCTCCAAAGCCCCAGTAGATAGTTGTATGTCATAGTTGCATGTCATAGTTGCACATCCTTCTAGTTGCTGTATGTGGGACGCGGCCTCAGCGTGGCCGGAGAAGCGGTGCATTGGTGTGCGCCCGGGATCCGAACCCCGGCCACCAGTAGCGGAGCTCGCGCACTTAACCGCTAAGACACGGGGCTGGCCCCCTGCCATTCTAATATTTAATACCCAATTTTCACCACTTGCTTAAGTCAGTTCTTTGAGATGTTACTGCCCCTGAACCATGACTGTACTTTTTATAACAGAAGCAGAAGCTGAAAGATGTAGACATCACACAATTTAATTCAAAGATTAAAAAGTAGAAAACAATAAAAATTCAGTTGCCAACTTAAGAGGATTTTACACATTAAGTATTGTATTTTATTTCCATGATCTGAAACTTATTTCTCACTCAAGAAAACAGATACATTTCTAAACATTTATTATATCTTTTTTTGATGGAAATAGACGAGACAGTTCCTTGACAAAACTGTCCCAGGAGAACAAAACAAATGCTTTTCCAAATTAGAGCACAAGTCTTCTTTAAATGTCAGTATGAGATAACTAAGTTATAGTAGCAGTCTTTTAAACTTCATAAAAGCTATTGTTAAGATGGTGGTTTCGGCCGTTTTGCAGATGGTCCATCTGAGTTAGTTCTGTTATCAATGTTATTTTCATCTTCCACATCATCTTCATCATCACCTTTTAAAATAAATATTTGTTGTATGACAATATGTTCAGTGCTTGAAAGAAATATAGATAGCTAAAATGGTTGATAATGAGACCATTTCACTTTAGGGATTAATAAAACCATGCATATATCAGATCTGAAATATGTATGGTTAAAAAGATTTCAGGAATTTTGGTGTTTAAAACCTTTCTTTTCTATCACTGTTTTTGGCGATATAATTCATATACCATAAAATTCACTCTTTTAAAGTATAAGGTTTATTGATTTAGTATATTCACTAGGTTGGGCAACTGATCACCACTAATTCTAGAACACTTGCATCATCCCAGAAAGAAATCCCATACCCTTTAGCAGCCACTTCCTATTCCCCTCAGCCCTTGGCAACCACTAATCTACTTTCTATCTCTACAGATTTGTCTATTCTGGTCATTTTATATAAATGAATCATAAAATATGCGGGCTTTTGTGTCTGCCTTCTTTCACTTAGCATGTTTTCAAGGTTCATTCACATTGTAGCAGTTATCAGTACTTCATTGGTTTTTGCTGCTGAATAACATTCCATTGTATCAACATGCATTTTGTTTATCTACTTATCAGCTGGTGGACACTTGTGTTGTTTCTACTTTTTAGCTATTATGAATAATGCTGCTATGAACATTCATGCAAACGTTTTTATGTGAACGTATGTTTCCAGTTCCCTTGAGAGAACTAGGAACGGAATTGCAGGGTCAGACAGTAACTTCATGTTTAACTTTTTGAGGAACTGCCAAACTGTTTTCCAAAGAAGGTACATTTTACATTTCCACCAGCAATGTATGAGAGCTCCAATTTCTTCACATCCTAGCAACACTTATTGTTCTTTTTGATTATAGCCATCCTAGTGGGCATGAAGTGGTATCTTATAGTGGTTTTGATTTTCGTTTCCCTGATAGCCAATGACGTTGAGCATCCTTTCATGTGCTTATTGGCCACTTGTATATCTTATTTGGAGAACTGCCTATTCAAATCCTCTGTACATTTGGTAGATGGATTATTTGTCTTTTTAGTGTTGGGTTCTGTCACTTTTCTTTAGTAAGTCTTATAATTTTAAAACTTGGTATATTCATATAAGATAAAATTCGTCATTTTAATCTCTGTCACTTTTAACAATGGAAATCCAAACCTAAGCTTTATGGGGACTTCTTTAAAGATACAAAAACATGTCCATCTATACAAAGATATTACACCATTAACAGAACAGGTGGCAGTTATTTCTGCAGTAAGTAATGACAGAATTTTTTTTTAAATGGCTCTAACTATATTCATTCTCATGCCAATGGTAATATTTTCAACAGATTAGGAGAGGTATTTTGGAAGCAAGAAACAGGATTTCACTCTCATGGAAACAACCTATTGTCTGAACTTGGTGTAATGTTCTGAATTGGCTCCTTCAAATTATCTGGAACTATCAAGATGAAAACAAGATGGAAAGAAAAAGTACAGTACAGTTTAAGCTCCTCTACAAAAAAGCTAAGTCCTGACTCCAATATTCAGTTTTTAGGTTCTTCAGCTCAGGGCAATCAAATGTCCCTATTTTTGTATTTAAGATGAGACTTAAAAAAAAATTAATGCAGCTAAATTTCCCGCTTTGACTTTCAAACTGCACAAACAAAACTGAGAAAGGAAAGGAGTCCCTGCGAGTTCAGACTTGCTCAACTGAAATCTGTTCCAATCTTCGGAACCTGCTCCTATTCTGCGATAGATGGCAGCCTTCCAAACATGTTTGTAATTTCACACCTGGGAAAACTCCCTGTCATCCTTCAATAGCCAGCTTAAAAGTCACGCCCTTTCTGAAGCCTTCCGGGGTTCCCTGGGTTTGCAACAGTTACAGAAGGCCCTGGGGTCACACTCGCCCTTTTTACCCAGAGTGTCTACCTGTCTAACCGCTCACCAGAGTGAGAGTTTCGCAGGTAAAGGAACTGAGTCGCCTTCACCTCATTCTTCCTCCAGGGCTCAGCTCCATGCCTGACACCGAGCAGGAGGCGTGCAGCACGTTTTTTGTGATATAAATGAAGAATCGCGAAAACGCTTGGGTAAGAAGCAGCCCAGATTAATCAGCCCAAATACAGCGGAAAGTGCCAACGTCTTTTAGGAAAAACTTCTTCCCCTGAGGCTCACTTTCTCCAAATCTGCCACTCTCCACGGGCGCCCCTGCCCCGCCCTCCTGTCGCTCCACACCGTCTCAGAGCTCACCGTCCAAGGCCTCGTCCGGTGCCACCGCCTCCCTGCCCTGCGCTTCCCGCTGTACCAGGGGGCCGAAGAGCTCGGCCACCAGCTCCCTCATCTGGGCCACTCCCGACAACAGGTTCTGGAAAGGGTCGGCGTCGCCGGGCGCCTCACAGGGCACCCGCAGCTGCCGCTGCTGCCCGTCCTGCCCAACATACTCGCCCAACAGCTCCATGGCGACTGCTGAGTTTCCAGAGCGCGTCACAAGGATGCGCCACCCGGAAGCGGAAGCCAGCCTGCGGCGGGCGCGGGCGGGAGAAGGGAGGGGAGTAACTTCCGTTCGTCGGAAGTCGCTCCTCCCCCTCCCTTCACCTCCTTTCTTTGGGATTGGTTCCTGGGACTCAGGCCCCGCCTCCTCCGGCCACGCCCCCTCGAGGCTGCTTTTCCCGCCTCCGCAGGGACAGAGCGGCGGTCCTGGTGACAGTTGAGCATGGCCGGAGCGGAGGGGCATGCTGGGCGGCAGTCGGAGCTGGAGCCCGTGGTATCGTTGGTCGACGTGCTTGAGGAGGACGAGGAGCTAGAGAACGAGGCGTGCGCCGTGCTGGGCGGCAGCGACTCCGAGAAGTGCTCCTACTCGCAGGTGGGCGCGTGGCCCGGGCGTGGTCTCCCCCGGGCTCCGCTGAGCCTCCTTTTCCCGACCGGACTTGCCCTGTTCCCGCCTGCCGCGGCCCGGCTCCCCCGTGCTGGTGCGGGGCCGCCGTTCTTCGTAGGCTCCCCCATGCCAGGCCCAGCTGCCCTTTTACCCTCAGCCCCTGGGCCCCCTTTCTCAGCCTCTGTCCAGCAGAAGCCCCCTCGTCCATCGGTCTGCCTCCGTCCGGCCCCTCAGGATTCCCGAGGCTCTGGCCCTGGAGCAGCTGCTCTGTCCTTCCTCTCCCGTCTCTTCTCGGCGCCCGGCTGCTTTTTACGAAACCATCCCCGTGACCTCTCAAAATTCAGACATCTTTGTCCCTACTTTTCCCATCCTAAGAGTATTTATTGGGAACCGAATGGGAGAGTGAAAGCAGAGTTAAAGGAGAAAGGTCTGGATTTGAAAATCTCCCTGTGTGGGCTGGGCTCCTTGACAGCTAGTTCCTCTGCAATTTAGTTTGACAAGTGCTAGCTGGTAGCTTTTTGGCGAGACGACGCAAGTACTGTGTCTGGCTGCCGTCTGCCCCCCATGGGGATGGACCTGAACCAGGACAGCAGGTGGCACTGGCAAAGGAGGAGAGGGGAAGAGGGAAGGAGCTACTTGAAGAGGAAATTTGGCACTTGGAAGATGTGAACAAGGATTTGAGGGGGTGTCATGTAGTGTTTGGTGACTCATCCGATATTTCTAGGTACAAAAATGGAGAAAGGTGGGTAGAAGAAAACTAACAAGGGATGAGAATTGGTAGGAGGAAGAATGTTACTTTCCAGGGGGGTGGAGTGGAACATTGGGGGATGAGGAGAGAGACTTGGGGTCATTATGTGATGTGGACTGAGATCATAATACCAGTTGTCACCGTTGGCCAGTCAAGCTTACACTGCCAAATGGTTAGATTTTTGAAAGCACCTGGTATCTAGAGATAGTCCCAGGTGTTGGCTGGTATTTTAAAACGTTTGGTCACCACCAAAACAACGTTTTCTCTGCTTTCCTTTTTTAAAAAAAGCCTGTACATGAGCTATTTTTGAAATGTAGTTAGCTTTGTAAAACAGACTTCCTTAACGTTTTCGTTTTTTATTGTAGTAAAATGTATGGAAAATTACACAAAACATGTGTAGGGCTTGAAAAACAAACACACACATGCAGTTACCTACCACCCAGATCAAGAAATAGAACATTACTGGCATTCCAGAAGCTTCCTTGTGTCTCCCTTCTTCCTAGAGGAGGGTAACCATTGTCAAGATTTCTAAAAGTTTTGCCTGTTTTTCCTTCAGCTTTTTATTTTGAAACATTTTAAATCTACAGATAAGTTGAAACACCTTTGTACCTCTTACACATATTCACTTTTTAACATTTTACCACATTTGTTTAATCTTTCTCGTCTTCGTAATATACTATTTCCTGCTGAACCATTTGAAAATAAGTTGCAGATATCATGACACTACACTTCTAAATACTTCAGCATGCGTCTCCTAAATATCAAAGGGATTCTTTTTTTTGTGTAAGATTAGCCCTGAGCTAACATCTGATGCCAATCCTCCTCTTTTTGCTAAGGAAGATTGGCCCTGTGCTAACATCCGTGCCCATCTTCCTCTATTTTATATGGGATGCCGCTACAGCATGGCTTGACAAGCGGCACCTCGGTGCGCACCCAGAATCTGAACCAGCAAACCCTGGGCCGTCGAAGCGGAGCACTAGAACTTAACTGCTACACCCTCAGGCCAGCCCCTCAAAGGGATTCTTTTAATGCATTGACTTTCTCTTTGGTGGAATCACAGCATTTTCCGAAATTAAAGTGTGGTGTTACTTACATAAACCTACACACATTCTCCTACATTTTCATGTGTTACAGTGACTAAACAGACCTGCTTATTCATAGCTGACTGAGAATATTAAACTTCCTATCACTTTAAGAAAAAATTGTATGAAAACAAGCACTAGTGTAGTAAATATATAGTGATCTGAAACATGCAACAATGTTTTGGTACTCTCTCGTGTAAGCTTTCTTATTAGTCTTAGTGGTTTTTACAGGAAGATCTTGACCACACATAATCTGATTTCAGTTATTTCTCAGATCAGATTATGGGTATTAGGTAACCATGCCATATTTAATTAATTTATTCTCTCTCTTTTTCCATTTTGGGGCTGTCTTTTAGGGCTCAGTAAAGAGACAAGCACTATATGCCTGTAGTACTTGCACTCCAGAGGGAGAAGAACCGGCAGGAATTTGCCTAGCTTGCAGTTATGAATGCCATGGAAGTCATAAACTATTTGAACTATACACAAAAAGGTAAAGACAATTAGAGATTGGTGCTGAATGCTTTTTAAATGTTTAGATTCTTTCCAAGCTGCATTTTTTTCTTAATCTTGCTTTTCCATTCAAAGTAATTGTGCATGGGTAAAATTTAATGTAATTGTTTTATATAATATAACTGGGCAGAAGAGTTTTTCCAGAGGGCTTTTTAAAATACAATTATGGAACAAACTGAAACTACTCATCCTTCTATGCCATTATTTTACTCGTGTAAGTTACAGATATTTGTCTTTATGCATGTTAATTTCAAGAATTATTAAATCTTTTATCGTTATGTGCTTGGAGAAATTCCAAATTGGATACATGAACAGCAACCAAGGCCACTTTTTAGATCCCAAAAATGAGTTGAAAGGGAAGAGGCTATGATATGAACTTAAAGAGTAGGTCATTAGATTTAAAAGAAAAATTAAAATTGGCTCTTCCTCCTTTGTTTCAGAAATTTTCGTTGTGATTGTGGAAACAGCAAGTTTAAAAATTTGGAATGCAAATTATTTCCTGTAAGTAAGCACTGTAACTATAGATGCATTGAAAGTAGCTGAGATTGATATTTGCCAGAGTGGGTAAAAATCAAATATTTTCCACAAAGGAAGTTCTTATGCTTATTCTTGGCAAATGGGCAAATCAATATTAGACTGTATTCCAGTTTTTATCCTGTTGGGAAGCTAAGTAACCTGTTCAGAGCCTACAGTATAGATTGTAATTAATATGAAAGGTTTTTGGGCGAATGTTCTTTGAAGTGATTCAGGTTTAGTTATGTTGATTGTACTCATGCTCTAAGACTTTTAAAGCAGAGGGTATGACTAAAAACTGAATAAATATGGGACCAGACCCGTGGCTTAGCGGTTAAGTGTGTGCGCTCCGCTACTGGCGGCCCGGGTTCGGATCCCAGGTGCACACCGACGCACATCTTCTCCGGCCATGCTGGGGCAGCATCCCACATACAGCAATTAGAAGGATGTGCAACTGTGACATACAACTGTCTCCTGGGGCTTTGGGGAGAAAAAGGGAAAAAAAGGAGGAAGATTGGCAACAAATGTTAGCTCAGGGCCGGTCTTCCTCAGCAAAAAGAGGAGGATTGGCATGGATGTTAGCTCAGGGCAGATCTTCCTCACAAAAAAAAAAAAAAAAAACTGAATAAATAAAATTTGATAATAATGAATATGGGCTAGTTGCACACAGGAGTTTTTACTGCTTTTTGGCTAATAAAAACTATGCTTATATGATAAGTTTTAGTGAAATAACAGAAATGAAAGAGAAAGTAAGGGATTTTGCATTGTTCGATCATAATTGCCAAAACTGTCATGCTTTTCCCCTCCTTTGAAAGTTATTTTTAGGCAATTTTCTTGCCCGCTTTTTACCTCCTGGTAACCTGGGAGCTTTGGCTTTCACAGCTGGGCATTAAGAAGCGCTTTCAAATTCTAGGCCAACATCAGTTTACATAGGTTGATAATTAATTAATACTTATAGTTAACTTGTGTCACCATTTTATTAAATGGGTGTATTCGGTTTCCCCCAATTGCTACAAAGAAGTTACAAAAAATAAATTTTATTTTTGCCCTGTATCCTGGAAAAAGTATCCCTTTAATAGGCGTGAATTTTTTGTACTTTGAAAGTTAAAGACCAGCTCCTGGGGGGAAGATATTTAATGCAGAAATTTACTGAATGCATAAATTTCATGATGCCTGAAATTATAGTTAAAATCAGAACATATTATATATTGAAATTAATATCTTACAGGACAAAGCAAAGACAAATTCTGGCAATAAGTACAATGACAACTTTTTTGGATTGTACTGCATTTGCAAGAGACCTTATCCTGATCCTGAAGATGAGGTAAGAGCATTGGGGGCTGACACCTGGGACTGTGTCATCTCTGCCTTTGCTCCACAGCACCTTTCATTTCTGGGCCTCTGTAGCTGATCAGGAGGGATTTGGGGATTGTGAAAGGATTGAAGGTTTATTCCTTCCTATGAATCGGGGCTGGATCTGTAACTGGTACAGATCTCAACTGTTCTCATTCTTACATCACGAGAATAAAATATTGGACAGTACTTGCCCAAGGCTAGGAGCTTTTTCCTTCCCCTCCCTGTTTGCCTGCCTGCCTGCTCCACTCCTCCAAACACTTTCCCAAAAATGACCTTTGACTTCTTGCGTCCCTGGAAGAAAAGCAATGGAGTGTGCAAACTGGATCCTCTTAGAAATTTCAACTAGAAGTACACACAAAATTTAAAAAGAGTTTTTCTTCTTCCTCACTGCTGCGCCTTCTTACCTCCCAGGCGTAACCAGTGTTAATACGTTTTGATGTATATATTTTTAGACCTTTTTCTGTACACATATAAGTGTTTGAGTGAATGTGTATTTCAATTTGCAGTTTCCTTTTAACAAAAGTGAAAATTCTATACATTCACTTCTGCAACCTGCTTTGCTCACTTATCAGTATATCATAGACATCCTTCCATGTTAAACAATACAGTCTACCTTGTTCTAATCAGAGTATTCCGTAATTTGACATGCCATAAGTTAGTTACCTGAGTGTTCTTCCATAGCAGAATGGTGTTGTCTGATTTTTGAGTATTATAAAGAAAGCTGCAGTGAACATCCTTATACAGTAATACAACTGAGTATACTCCTGCAAGTATTTATATAGAACAGAAACCTAGAGGTAGAATTGATGGATCAATGGATATTTGTATTTAAAATTGTGATCTGTGAGAAGCGTTCAGCCACCAACAGTATGTGATAGTGTTTTTTCCCCAACACTCTTGTCATCCCTATGTATCCCCATTCTTTTAAAATTTTGCCACTCTAGTTGATGAAGAACGGTATTTTTAAAAAATTTTCCTTTCTCTGATCATGAGTGAGGTTATGCATCTTTTCATGAATTTATCGGACATTTGTAATAACGTTCTATCTGAATTGTCCTTTCGTATCCTTGGCCCATATTTTGATTGGGTTGGGTTTTGTTTATGTATTTACTGATTTGAAGGAGTCTTTTTGTATTTAGAGAAATTAGCCTCTGTCTTCTTTCTTGCTTTCTAGTTGTCTTGGAATTGTAATTATTGAACCAAATTATGTAGAGGAACAAATTGAAGATATCTTTGAGTTAACAAAGATAAAACCTTAAAACTGGATATTTTAAGGTATGGGGTAAAGTGTTATAACACTGTTGAATCAAAAGACAGAAAAAATAAGATGGTGAATAAATTGATCAAGGCAGAAGAAAGAATAAAACTGCTATTTATATATATATATAAAGCACTTTTTTTCCTTTAAGAAACCATAATAGCGAAAGGACAGAACAAAGTTGGAATGTTAATCAGTAGATATGAAAGCCTTGGAATAAAAGGAAAATCATTCTAAAAATAGTCTATGCCTTTTGGTATATAATTTTCCTAGGGCCAGAATCTTATTAGTTAATTAATTAATTCAAATTAGGGAAGTTGTTTTGTCCATATTATCAAGATTTTGCTTGTAACATTTACTTTTCAGTTACTCAGCAGCATGGTGTGGTAAAAAGTCCCAGTTGTCACATTCTGGATTGGTCAATTCATATTACCTCCCTGGGCCTGGGTTTATGTATAAAATGAGAATATATTACTTATTTATGAAGTTTTGTGAGAATCAGATATTAAGTAACTGATGTGAAAGAACTTTGATAGTTGCTTGCAAAGTGCTTTTCTCAAATGTAACACCAGTTCGTGTGGAATGAACTTCTTTGGCCCCTTGATCCACTGTTTCTCCCTGTCCCCTTGACTGCTGACATGTGGATAGTGTTCTCACAGATTTGGTAGAGAATTATTTAATATCTAATTCTACTGTGTGCCAGATTTACTTCTGTGTCCCAGGATTCACTGTAATCATTAACATACGAACTGCTTTTCCGTGTTAGATTCCAGATGAGATGATCCAGTGTATAGTCTGTGAAGACTGGTTCCATGGAAGGGTAAGGAAAGCTTTTCCCTTTTAAAGCCGTTGTCTTCACAAGAAGAGAAAAGATCTTTTTTTTTGTATTGTGTTATATTTTACATTATAATTACTCTTCTAAAAATCAATTATAAAGATGTCAGTGTACTCTTGCAATATTTGTTTGTGTACTCTTGCAATATTTGTTTATGAAAGAGTGAGCATTTTAGACAACTTGGAAATTACAAGGAAAATATTGGGTTTTCTGTATTCACAGCATCTTGGTGCCATTCCCCCTGAGAGTGGGGACTTCCAGGAGATGGTGTGCCAGGCTTGTATGAAACGCTGCGCTTTCTTGTGGGCTTATGCTGCGCAATTGGCAGGTAGGTGTCTCTGTGGAGTTGGTGTGCCACAGAGTTGTGCTTGTGAAATTGTGTGTTCAGTCGAGAATTTTTAGCAATTACTTTTAAGTAGACTCTGAGGTATACAAAAATGCGTAAGATATGTTTCTTGCCCACAAGGTGCTTGTAGATTGGTTGGGAGACTACCAAGAACAAATCTGTACTTAAATGGCATGGTGCAGAGTATGGATGAGACCAGAATTAGAGAAAATGAAGGAGGCAGTTTTTGAATGGGACTTCGAGAGATAAATAGAACTCAAAGAAGTGTAAGACATGCTATGGTTGGGCAGGGGCTGGTAGGTTGTATAGTATGTTACCTGGTGCTTTTATTATACACTAAGAAGTGACCCAAACAACTAATCAGCAGTGAATGGTCTTGAGGCATTAAATATTTTATTTTGTTGGTAACACTATACATATTTCTTAATTTATTTGTCAAGTGGCAGTTACTCATCATATCTGCTGCTCTGGCCCCATAATTTCTTGCCCTGCTCACCCTTAGGGAACACTTCACCATACAAACCACGAGCAGCAAGCCATACCTAAGATCTCACCCTGTGCTTTTGATTAGTCTCAGAATTCTCAAACCTGGTGCTCCCTCCTTCTGTTCTTATCCTCGCCACTTCTCTCTCTCTCTTTGCACTGGACCTGTATATATTTCTCATTCATTGGATTCTCTTAGTTGATCTTCCCGCTCCTCTTCATTTCCTTTCCTGTCAGCAGACGGCTTCACCTCCTCTTAAATTGAAATGCCACCATGCACCATGAGCTTCCTTATCGTTTCTCTTCTCTCCTTTGTCGTATTTATGCTTCTCTACCCATCCTTTTTGATTTCCTCCTTGCATAAAGGAAAGCTGGTGGTTTTTTCAAAACCACCCCACTCACTGTTTTTGCAGTTAACTCTCTTTCTACTGCCCCTTGCTTCTTGAGGTGTCCCATCTCTCTTTAACGTCTGTGGTATTTTTCTTTCTTTTTTACGTAGAAAGTGCTTAAGTAGTGATTGATATTTGTAAATGAACTGTTCAATTATGTGAACTCTTTGGATTAGGCAGGCAGAACCTAAAAAAGTGTTGATATTTCCTTTCTCATTATTGCAGAGATTAAGGTTGACTTTCTCTTTTCCAGATTCTGAAATATTTTTTAATCAGACCAAGTGCTTTCGTTGTCTAAGGGTCTGTGGATATGTGTGTGTGTGTTTTCATTGAACCCACAGTAACCAAAGTATCTGCTGAGGATGATGGGTTGGTGCTGAATGTTGATGGAATTGGTGATCAGGAAGTTATCAAACCTGAAAATGGAGATCATCTAGATAGTACCCTCAAAGAGGATGTTCCAGAACATGGAAAGGATGCTGTCAAAGAAGTTAAAGCAGAGCAGACTAATGAACCATGTACCAGCTCTAGTTCCGAATCGGATCTCCAGGTAACATATGAAATGTGAGCCATAAGAGAAATAAAACTTAAGCAAAATTAATTCTGTAAGCTCTATGGCTTTGGATTTCAATTGTACCCTCTGCCTAAAGAAATCCCTTTACAAAATCTGAACTATGAAAGCTATGATAGTTAAAAAAATACCCTTCAAAACTTAATTTTATTTCAGACGGTGTTTAAGAATCAACACCTCAACACAGAGTCACAGCCTGGCTGCAGACTTCAGGAGCTTAAAGCTAAGCAGTTTGTAAAGAAAGACACTGCCACCTATTGGCCCCTGAACTGGCGTAGCAAGTTATGTACCTGCAAAGACTGTATGGTGAGTAAGTACCTGATCAAGTTCAATGTTAGCATGTTTTGTGGAATGATGCCTAAAATAAGAACATCTGGGGTCCGGCCCCGTGGCGTAGCGGTTAAGTGCTCGCACTCCGCTGTTGGCGGCCCGGGTTCTGATCCCGGGCGCGCACCTATGCACTGCTTGTCAAGCCATGCTGTGGAGGCATCCCATACAAAAAAAAAGTGGAGGAAGATGGGCATGGATGTTAGCCCAGGGGCAGTCTTCCTCAGCAAAAAAAGAGGAGGATTGGCATGGATGTTAACTCAGGGCTGATCTTCCTCACCAAAAAAAATAAATAAAAAATAAAATAAGAACATCTGAAAAGTTTATTTATGAAATTGATGTTAGAGAACTTAAAAAAATTTTATATTAAGCAAATTTATGAAATAATATTTGCAATCTGAATGCTTGTAGAAGAAATTGAGAATTATGCAATACTTTTTATTTACTTATCTTCAGTTAGTGTAAAATAGCAATTCTTAGCTCTTTTATAAATCATAGGTTAAGGGGCCGGCCCAGTGGCGCAAGTGGTTAAGTGCGCGTGCTCCGCTGTGGCAGCCCAGAGTTCGCCGGTTTGGATCCTGGGCGTGCACCAACACACCGTTTGGCAAGACGTGCTGTGGCAGCGTCCCATATAAGGTGGAGGAGGATGGGCATGGATATTAGCCCAGGGCCAGTCTTCCTCAGCAAAAACAGAGGAGGATTGGCAGATGTTAGCACAGGGCTGATCTTCCTCACAAAAAAATCATAGGTTAATTTATATTAATTTATATCATAGAATTGCTTGGAAACACAAATTGCTTGAAAGTTACAGTAAGTCAATGGTTTTCAAATAAAGACCTCTTAGACCACACAATATCTACTAGGAAGTTGGGAGATTTCTAAAAGAGATTTGGGCAAAAAGAATAAATAATTCAAGCAACTCTGTGCTGAAAGGCTCAGGTTTTTCTGGCACTTAATCTAAAAAAAATTAAATAAATTTTTAGTGCTTCTCATGAGGTTAACTTTCTGAGAATGACATACAGTTCTAATGGGGAAACTGGTTTTATTTTTTAAAGAAAATGTATGGCGATCTAGATGTCCTGTTCCTGACAGATGAATATGACACAGTTCTGGCTTATGAAAACAAGGGCAAGGTCGACCAGGCGGCTGACAGGAGGGACCCTCTGATGGACACCCTGAACAGCATGAACAGAGTCCAGCAAGTGGAACTGATTTGTGGTAAATACTGTTTGAGTGTAAAAATTCATGAAGTTCATAAAGTTTCCTTCACTATTGAAAAAAAATATATATATATATAAGGAGGACACCTAATGCCTATATTTTAATTTCATACAAAGAAAGTTTAAACTTGGATTTATACAGTAGACCTCAGCTACATTTGCTTAATTGTAATGTTGCTGGGGATTTAGCCTGTATTACCGTTTAATCAGGGTGATATGCTAGAATAATTACATTCTTGAGAAACCACAACGTGCTATTTTGACTAAGGGTGGATGTAGGAGTAACGAATATTAGAAAGTCCATTTCTTTTTCCATCCATTGAAATAATTTTCATTGAGCATTACATGTCATCTTTTTGAGCAAAACATGTCATTGTCTTGACAGTTCTTGACGTTGCTTCAGTGGTTCAGAGGAAGCCACTAGAGGGGAAAATTCATTCATTGTGGGCTTTTACGGTTTTTCCCCCAGTATGCCCAGCTTCTTTTAGTGATTTCTATCTCGGCCAGTTTCTGCTCGGATGTCATTACCTTTGTGCCCCTTGTATGGCATGGGTCATTTCTGGCTTTTATTTGTAACTATTTCATTAATTTCCTTTTGCCTTCATTAGGCTAAATGCTTTTCGAGGCTGGAGGCTGCATCTAAAACATTTTGGTAGCCCTCAAGATGCCTCGTACATAATATAAACTGTTGAGTGAGTTCACGAGTTTTAAAACTTAATGTTTGACGAGTGCAAGGTTATTTCAAGTATTAGAATTCCAGAGAGAGAGGAAATCCTTTAAAAAATTCTTAGCTAATCTTTTTGAGAGTGAGGATATTTCTGTTTTTTAATGAAAAAGGGTCCCAGATATCAAAATGAAAGAATTTGAGAGAAATTGGGAACAAGTTTTTATGCAGGTTTCACTTAGAAATTTAAACTATTAACATACTCAAATGTCAACGGTAAAGAAATATTTTGTTTCTGAAAGCAAATGGCTTATCTAAAGTTTAAGTCCTTTTTTTGTTGTTGATTTAGAATATAATGACTTGAAGACTGAACTTAAAGACTATCTCAAGAGATTTGCTGATGAAGGCACGGTATGTTGAGTTAAAGAATTTTAATCATAGCCCTGTATGTTTTGAATAAACTGTTCATTTTCTTTGATGAAAAAAATGACTGTGCATCTTAAACTGGATACTGGAGAGTTTAGTGCAGGCAGAGCTAAGAGAAATCAATCAGAGGCGGTGAAGCACCAGCGGACTGGCCACAGTGGGAGTCCTTCCCAACCCTGGGGTGGAAGGGATGAGGGCCGGAGCAGTCACACAGGATCTGGAGAGAGGAGTCATAGTCTAGGAGAGCGCCATTGGATCAGCCCTACTGATTCTGCCCATCCTGACCTTCAAGCAAGGATCCCTGAGGAGGAAGGAAAAATGACCAGGCAGGAAAAAATGAAATCCAGACCCCTTTTCTGGGATTTTGGGTTCTATAGTTTAGAATAAAAGAACTTTATCATTGGAGGCTAAAACATTTCTCTTGCTGGTTAAGAGAGCCTAGATACTTTAAAGGGTCACATTGACTCTATGATATGTAATGTTTTAAAACAGTCTTCCAGATGAGTTTACAATACTTCCTAGCTCTTTACTACTCCTATGTTGGACAGAATTTTTTCTAAAATACCTTTCTGGGGGCCAGCCCCGTGGCTTAGCGGTTAAGTGCGCGTGCTCTGCTACTGGGGGCCTGGGTTCGGATCCCGGGCGTGCACCGACCCACTGCTTGTCCGGCCATGCTGAGGCAGCATCCCACATATGGCAACTAGAAGGATGTGCAACTATGACATACAACTAGCTACTGGGCCTTTGGGGAGTAAAAGGGAAAAAAAAAGAGGAGGATTGGCAATAGATGTTAGCTCAGGGCTGATCTTCCTCACAAAAAATAAATAAATAAATAAAAATAAAATACCTTTCTATCTTCCAAAGGCAGATATAAAACAAAATTTAACTTTTCTTTCCATGGCCTAAGGTTGTTGTTATAGACGGTTAAATGTTTTGCTCTGCTACAGCCAGACATAGAAATCAAGTCAGACGTGGTCTGATGGATACTCAGGAAGTGCCCTGAGACTTGCTGTCTTGGAAGGAGTCTCTACCAGCCTACTTTAGGTCATTTTCTTCTTTCTCAGAGAACTTGCAGCTGCCTGGACAGGGTCACAGTGCTACCTTTCTGCAAAACAAATTGTGATGTCAGAAGTTAAAAGAGCCTTCTCTTAAATAGTATCCTCATTTTTTAGAGAATGTTCTTCACTGTCACTATGAATGTCTTCCTCCTTCCCAGCAGTTCTTAAACTACAGTTATTTCTTGTTTCTGTTGCAAAGGCTAAATTCTGGTTAATGCAGACTCGTGCTTCTCTCTCGCTAGAACTAAGAATGTTCATGGGTGTAACTGTTTTAACCTCTGCGCTATTAGTGGACATTCGAGGGTTTCAGATGTGTCAGAGCACATGCTCTTGGCTCTACTCTTCAGCCTCTGCTCTTGTACAGTTTGTCGTCACAGTGCTCTTTCTTAATTTTATTACACACAAACACTTAAAATCACATAAAAGAAAAAAATTAGGTATGTTGTCTTTTTCCATTCACATCTGATACCATTTTATTCAGTCTTCATATGTATCTTCAACATGTGGATCTTTGTTATCACTGGAGCCGCTCTTTATGATTCTTCATGAGAGAGTTTTTTTTATCTGATGTGATGATTTAAAACGACAGAAAAATATTATTTTTTATTGTTTGTTCCATGACATTACTAACTACATCTTTCCAAAAATAACAAACAAAAACCTTAAGTTGCCATAAGAGTTATCTGCTTTGGTTGTATTTGTCTGCAAAAGATAATGCTAATAAGTTCTAGATGTTCTCAGATGATGGACTGCCTTTTATTTAATGTTTGTGTCTGACTATTAAAAAAAAAACACTTAGAAACTACAGATTTTCTGCGACAAGCCGATCAAATGATTTATTATTGAACCCAAGTACTTTTTCTGTAACATTTCTACTCTGCATGTTGGCTGTGACCATGTGAGGGCGTCTAGAAACTAAAAATTGCACATTCTAATTTGTGTGCTTTCAGGTCTCCTCCCACAATATCCTGGCAGGAGAGATTTTTTCCTTTTATTGCCTTTTAGTGTCTAATGTTTGTGATCCAAGGTAAGGATGGATCTTTCATAGTGGAACTCCCAAGTATCCTATTTATTGGCATTTTATAAGTGTAAATTTCCGAGCCTTTTAGCCAAGTACATTAAAGCTTTGAGCTGTAGTTATTTATCTCAGAATGTGTTAGCCATCTAGACTTTGAATCTGTTCGGCGTTCTCATTCCTCACCGGGTGACCAGCAGTTTTATTCTTGGTGCTTGTGAAACTGGTGTATTAGCTACTGGACTGTGGTGGAGAACGGACAAAATGTTCCGTTCTTCCATTGGGAGGATTAATAAGTAATTATCTCACCCCCAGAAAGTGATTCAAGTTAACATTCCATTTGCAGTTGTTAGCAGCACTTAACCCTGGGGAGGGAGAGGCGGGGGATTTCACTTTATACACAAGTATTTGTCCTCTTTCTTACTTTCTCTTTTTCTCTCTCTCCCTCTTGCTCACAGGCATTGACGTGCTTTCTTTTTCTCTCTCTCTCCCTCTCCCTGCCCCACCTTCATTCCTTCATGACAGTAAGCATGTGTTGCCTTTGTAATTAAAAAGTAAATTAATAAACCGTCTCTTGCGATTTCCGTAAACAGCTTTAGATCAGGTCAGCTGGCGTAGGCTCACTCTGGGGTGGGCAGGGTCTCCTTCCTGGTCGCCCAGTTTACTTTTTTATCCGTATTTTCCCTTTGTCTTCTTTTCTTATTTTTAATGCTTTATTTTGCTAATATCTTAAACACCTTTGTATGATGCTCCACTCCTTTTTCCTATAAAATGGAAGACAAATTTCTCATTTTTATTGCATAAAATGGATATTCCATTTACTAAAAGTAGTGCTGCCGTAGCTTTTTAGCTTTTACCAATTATTTTTCTGTTTATATAGCAAACATCTTTAATTTTAGAGTCTCCAAGAGGGAAAAGTTTTTTGGTTCCTTTTTTCAGTAAAGGAGAAAACACAAATCTCAAAGCAAAACAGACTTTGTTTTCTGTGGGTGCTTATGCAGAGCTGGAGGACATCCCCAAAAGATGGCTGTGGCCGTGAGAGAGCAAACAGCAGTCTTAGGAGACTTTCAGGGGTCTCAGTTTTTTGCTGGCTCTGCCACTTTTCTTTTCAGCTAATATTTATTGAGAACTTTCTATGTGCCAGGCAGTGTTCTGCAGGCATTATATCTCATCCGATCTTCAGTGACCCTGCTTTTATCTCAGTTTGTTTGAGGAAACTGAGGTAGGTGTGGAATCTATGCTCTGCACCATGATGCTCTTCTGCCTGGCTGTGTGACTCTGCACAGGCCCCGCTCTATGAGCCTGGATGAGCTCTCGTATAAAATGGAGATAGTAAATTAATTACACACTAAAATAATTCTTATCAGCAATATTGTTTGACTTGCTTGTGAATGTTATGACTGGTTATTGCTGTCCTGTGATGTAGTTCTCTTTCCTAACGTTTGCTTTTCATCAACAGGTTGTTAAGAGAGAGGACATCCAGCAGTTCTTTGAGGAATTTCAGTCAAAAAAGAGAAGAAGAGTGGATGGGATGCAGTATTATTGCAGCTAGAGTGGAGTGTGGTGCCTTCTCCTCCAGGCCAATGAAAATGCCGCTTACTGTTCCAGGAATAAAAGAGGCAGAGTTCACATTTGGTCCTCTTTCCGTCCTGTCCCTGGAGAGGCCTCCTCCTCTGGCCTTGAGCTTCCTTCACTCTCAACTACAGTAGCCACAACGTTTATGCTGATTTCACAACCAGCATTCTTTCTGACTCAACTAAATGCAACTCATTCCACAGACTTCAGCTCCCCATCCCCCAGTCTATCCAGGGTTGTTTGCTTATAAGTTTTAAGATGTTTGATTTGGTTTTGAGAAAGTAAACTAGTTTCTTTTCTAATGATTTGTCCTTTAACTCCTGAATGTGTCTTCTCTGCCACAGAGCTGTTGTCGTCCAGGACCTGCTCTGTGGGGCATCGCAGAAGTTCTCTTCCTGTCAGCTAGAACCTCTATAGTCCCCTCACCTCTGTGATCCTGGTGCCTTGGGTCAAATCTTCCTCAAGCCTGATCTGCTTCTTCTCACACATCCCTGCTCTCTGAGGTTTGGTCACACTTTGGAAGGGATCTCGGAACTTGTTTCCTCTGGGCCCAACCTCCAGAGTAGCCAGAACTGATGGTTTTCTGGCCTGGATGACTGTCACAGGCAGGGAGATTGGCTGATGGCAGGATTGAGGAAGCCAAACTTTGTTACAAATTTTACTAATAAATTTAAAGTGAAAATTTCATTCACAATTCTGCTGACACTAGAATATTAGAATTTCAGTACTGTAGTGCTCACAGTCCTTCCTGGGAGAAAATTTGCCAGTATACTAGTCCCTCTTCTGCTGCCTAAAAATAGACCGGGTACTACCCTGTGAAATCTTGGTGGTTTACAAAGTCCTCTGGATTTCTTTATATTATCAGGGATATTCATAAGCGTATATTAAAAACAGACCTATTTTGATATTGTTCTATTATGAAAATGTTATTAGAACCCCAATAAATTATTATTTTTCCCCTTAAATCTGTGCTGAAGAAAAAAGATACTGGCTTAGGTTCCTTGTAAGCAGCAGGGCCGTGAGTGCCCTGTTTTGGAAGAGGCAGACTGTGGAAAAGATTCCGAACGAGGCCCTGGGCTGCATGAATGATGAGCTTTATGTATATAAACGTTAATGTCCACAGCTGGTTCCCTAATGACTATGAGATCTTCTTTGGAAGAACCTCATAGAATGTTGTATAAAACCCCATGTTTGAGGGGAAGTCCTTTCACTTGGTATGAAATCTCTTTAAAGACCCTCGGTCTCTGTGGAAAACACCTTCTGATGAACACAGAGCCCTCCGTTGCTCTCTCCCTCTGGAGGAGCGTGGTGTTTCCTACAATAATGACATACTGTGAGGTATGTGACTGTAAGCATTTGAGGCTTTGGGGCCACACATGTATCTTACTCCTTTGTGTGTGCAGCAGTCACTCCTGAGTGCCCACCGATCCCTGGAGGAGAGGAACTAGACTACAGCAAGTCAAGGCCTCAAAGAAATGGTCCAACCCATGTTTTTCTGCATCAAACCTCTAATTACAGATTCTCCTGGAGAGTGGTGTGTGGAGCTGGAAGGTCTTGTGGCCACAGGAGATGCTTGTGTGCCCCGAGCTGGCATTGTAGAAAAGGGAAACAGGCTGAGTTGGAAAGCTCAGGGTGTCTTGGAGAGTTTGCAGTCCCCAGCTTGGGAACTCTTCCAGGTCTGAGGGGTTTTGAACCCCTCTGCAAGGTTGCACTAGCAGTGTACTGTTGTGGCCTGAAAGTTGATATCTTCTCAGACGTTTGATTTAACTACCAGAAAGTTCCTTACTTCTTGCGACAGGTCAGGACCAAGTCTCAGAGGCGATGCATTACTGTGCAGCACAATAATAGAAATCAGCCAGTGCTGAAGGGCTCGTCCTATGAAAGGTACTGTTCCTTCTCTTGCATCAACCAGAAAACCTCTTTTTTTTTACCTGTTGTTCACAACTAGTTTTCTTATTGACTATTGGACCGTCTCTTCTTGTAGAGACAGATTTTGGCCAACATGTGGCAGTTGATATTAATGCATGTTTTATGCAAAACAAGAATATGATATTAGTTGCTTTTAAGGAATTCTGGCATTGTATGTGCATTTTTGTAGAATTGTTACTGGACTTATAATTACATATTAACTCCAATCAGGTTTCTGTAAAATTTAAATAAAACCAATTCAAAATAGTGGCTTTTCAGATTGTTTGTAGTCGTATTTAAGTGTACACAGCCTCCCCTTGCAGGTTATGAGGAAGTGAGTAGAATGTGAGTATACTCCAGCAGCCGTTCCTGCCCCCGGTCCTGCTCAGGCGGAGGGACTGGTTCACTTCTCTCCTGCCGTTTGATAAGATGTGGCCTGATCTGAGGTCCCACCAGCAGAGCCCCTCACTCCTCGGGCTTTACAACACCCGGAGGGAGGTTCCATAATTCCCGTTGGGCCCAGATGAACGGGAGAACAGAGACATGGGCTTGGGTTGTGACTGATCGCAGTGTGTCCAGGCGCTGCCGTGTGCAGATGGAGGGAGGGCTGGGAGCCCACAGTCCACGGACAAGATGAGGTGCACCTGCATGGTACCATTATTTCAAAATGTGAAAACACCCCAGAAAGCCAATGTGGAAGCCCATCTTTGGCCTCCTCCCCGCTCTTGCTTCCTTGGAAATTATTCAGTCTCTGGTTGTCCCAGGGTGAGTTGAGCTCAGATGAAGGAAGTGCTCTACAGCCCTGCTGCTCATGTGTCTGAAAATTCAGGATTATGTCATCATCAGTGCAGGAACCCTGCAGCTCTCCCACCCCCAGCTAAAGGACCCTCGTGGAGCAGAAGAAAATTGAAAGAGCAATCCAAGTGATTATTGGACCTTGGCGGTGACCTCGTTCTGCCTCCCATGGAAGATGGGTGCGTTCTGGGAAAGGTGGGACGTACAAGAAACCAACCCAGCAGAGCTCCCAGGAGCCAGTGAGGCTGCCTCCCAATCAGGTCACCTTGAAGCAGCTGCCAGACACAAGCTTTGGTCTGAGAGGGCATCTGGCATTTGGCACTGGGCCAAAGCCATGGTGGTACCTCATTTGTCCCCCTGAACCACTGGGCATTAGATAGGTGCGTGCTCCAGACTTATGATCACAGGATCCCTAGGTGGGAAGGGACCTGAGAAGTCACCCCGCCTCACCTCCTCAAAGGACAGGAGTCCCCCTCACAGATGATCCTCACAGGGGGCTGTGCTGCTCTTGGCCACTCGGCTTCCATGCCTCTATGCTCTCGGTGGCAGTGCCCCAATTTTCAGTTAGCTCTCTGCCCCCCACTTCCATGCCATGCGATCTGAGGGGCATTGGCCACGCCTCTCTCCCAGCTGCTGGTATAAGTCTTGTGAGCACTGGAGGAGTCAGCCTCGGGAGAGAGTCAACACCTTGGAAGGCAAAGAGGAAAGAAAGAAACCAGGTCTTTGGTGCTTCAGGCCTTCAGCTGCTGGATTAAGCCTTGCCTGAAGCTTGTGCAACTAGTAGACTTTTCCATAGCAGAGAACACTTCTACGACTCTCTATCTTCTGCTTCTGAACACTTCTAGTAACAGAGTGCTCACTACCTCCTCACACGCACTCATTCCCTATTCTCCCAGTCTTGGTGTCTTTTCCTATGGAAAAAGGCTAGATGCTTCTTCTGGACTTTTCCATTGGCCTCCCATCCAAATCTTGGCTCTGGTCTTCTCCCAATGATGCCTCTGGCAGGAGTGGAGGCTGTTCATGGTGCTCTCTAGCACCTGCTTAGCAGCTGTGCCCTGACTCCCCCACAGCACCTCACATGTGGGGAAAGGGTCTCAGCTCCCTCAGGAAAGCTCACCCCAGTTAGCAGGCCTGGTGCTATAAATAAAATGGGGCAGCAACTCGGGAAAAAGTTGCTGCTTTAGACTCACAGGTGCACCTTCCCCACACACTTCATTCACAAAGCCGCAGAGTCAAGAGTCACTAATTCCATTCCCAGGTTCTCTTCTTGGTCCATTTGCAGGTCAAATGCTGCTGATGGAGGCTCTCCTGCTCTCCTTTTCCTGCCTGGCATCCCCGCCCCTCAATGACCTCTTAGTCAAGGATGGAAAGATCGGAGACATTCTGGTGTGGCTCATATTGCAATGGTTATTTCCCTTTGTAAGAGCACTTAGCCCAGTCCATAATGATAGATTTGTGGGTTCATTTGCCTAATATCTGTACTGACTATACCATCAATTCTGTGAGGCCGGGCACTGTCTCTGCAGCTCAGTATTACAGTGCTGGAAGCCGGCCTGCTGGCTGCCCCATGACGGGTGCTCCACTGTTAATACACGAAGGGGAGTGCTCATTCGTGCATCCAACAGTCTGCTGGGCACAGCCACGAGCTGGAAGCTTTGTGTACACGATCTCATTTCATCCTCACAACGACCCTAAGAATATTATTGTCTACCCCCATTGTACAGATGTGGGATCTGAGGCTCCGAGAAGCTGAGGTTCCGCAGCTGGTCACTGGTGACTCCCGGAATCAAACGCACTCCCGCCTGATCCCAGGCCCTGGTTGTTTTACCCCACCAGTCCCGCCTCACTGAAGGGGGCACCCGGGAGCAGTTAAGAATCTCAGGGCAGAAGTGAAGGGAGATGCTGATAGCTTTTGCCTCAATCACAGAATGTCATATTTTGCCCTGGGTTAAGAGGGACATCATTAGCAACCTAAGTGCCCATCAAGGGATGAATGGATAAAGAAGCTGTGGTATATATACACAATGGAATACTACTCAGCCATAAGAAACGACGAAATCCAGCCATTTGTGACAACATGGATGGACATTGAGGGTATAATGCAAAGTGAAATAAGTCAGAGGGAGAAGGCCAAATACCGTATGATTTCCTTCATTAAGTAGTAGATAATAACAACAATAAACAAACACATAGAGACAGAGATTGGATTGGTGGTTACCAGAGGGGAAGGGGGGAGGGAGGAGGGTGAAAGGGATAATTCGGTACATGTGTGTGGTGATGGGTTGTAATTAGTATTTTGGTGGTGAACATGATGTAGCCCATGCAGAAATAGAAGTACAATGATGTAAACCTGAAATTTTTACAATGTTATAAACCAATGTTACCGCAATAAACAAAAAATTAAAAAAAAAAAAAAAAAAAAAAAGAGGGACATCATTGACTCTTTTTTGGTTTTGTTTTGTTTTGGTAAATTAACTTAGACTTACATGACAGAACTGGACTCACTTTCAGCAACCAACCCACTCCAGAGAGGTTTCTCTCAACCTCCCAAGCAATGTGACTCCAAGCGAGAGGCTGGGAAAGGAAGGTGACCCCAGAAGAA